GATATTGTTTAGATTTCTAGATGAAAATACCACGCAATTCTTTGGCGTCACTACTGTAAATGTTCGAATGCACGATTTCAGATTGCCTAGTAGCTGTCTCAGAGTCTGTCAGACAAAGTGGAATATTCTGCGCAGTCTTAGTTACGTCGCAAAATGGAAAGGGATGTCTTGGCTGCAGGTGTATTGGACGAGAAACACGTTTAATATATGTATTAATCCGGGGAAACTTAGCTCATGTTGCTTGATAGTTAACGAGTAGGGCATTACTACAAAGCAGTCGTCTAATTGTCTTTTCAGTGATTAATCCCCAGGCTTTAAAATCCAAATCGAAAAGACTCAGAGTTAGGATATGAGTGGCTGATTAATATAACAACTAACTCATCTCAAGTGCATGTAAACTCTTTCTTAACGACTGCCTTATACCTGGGAATATTGACTATCGTTAAATTCATACCAGCGATGTAAAACTTTAAAGGACCTCATTCTGCGGAAGGTTTGCGGGATAGAGTAAGATATGTGACGTAGACCACAAATGCAGAATTATGAATCAGAACTCCCGAGTTTATTGATCAGTGGCTATAGGTCACTGACCCATAGAGCACAGGATAACTGAATATCGATCATTGAAAATTATGTTTGTATACTAGTGAATTACCGTTTCGTGGTTGACTTGTCACTGCGCACACCTTCTTAGAGTAGGAAATCGGTTATTTCTAAGTATCGTATAGAACCAACTGTGGAATTCACTTGTAGCCAACTCAAAGATGCCTTTAAATGTTCCATTTATCACTGCATCTTATTAGGGAGATTAACAGATCATGTAACCAGTAGTGGGAAAGTTTGTGTCGCTTTAAAAGCAGTACTAGATAAATGAAGCGTTTAGGAGTTGCTTTCTCCCAACACTGGGCTCCACGACCGACCGGTTTGGTCCAAATTCGGACTCGTCAGACAGAGGTAACTTGAGCTGAAAGGGGAGCTCAACACATGTGTCGATGGCTTCCGGCTTGGTCACTAGGCCAGAGCTCCACAGCAGCGTTTGAGGTCGATAAATTTGCAACTTGGGTCAAATCAAGAAGCGCACGTGAAGTATTGCAATTGATCCAATGTACGTATAATTAAAGTCTGCCATTCTCCGTCCACTCTGGTAGTTACGTTGCTATACGCTTCCCAGGAAGTCATAATTGCGACTTTTAAATGCGCTCAGGGTTTTTAAGTGGACAGATGGCTGACAGCTGATTCGTCTCTGGTAGATGGAAAAAGACCTGCTCCTTACTATGACCCAATTCGCAGCTTGTGTTTGCATGAAAATACAAGCGTTTGTGTAAGTTTCAAACGTTTTCTTACCCAGACAAAGAAAAGTAAAGCAATCAAGCCAACGTTGCAGATATTAGGAACATGAACGTTATCCTAAACTCTGTATTGCCAAGTGACAGTCAATCCTAGTGTGTAGTTGGCATAAACTTGTGTTTAGGCATTTGCACTTTCTGACGTCAAACTATTGCAACGCTTGCACATAAGAGGCAATTAGTTCCTAGCCAGTTATAATAATATAGGTAACTAAAATTCCTGAAAGCATAAAAACGATGTACACATGGATTTGCGGCATCCGTGTCCGGATTTTCCGGTTACTGTGGCCTGCATGGGGACAGCCGCAGGAGGCCTGCGCCCATAGAGGGACCATGGGTGACTTGCGCCCCACCAAGCAGTACGGAAGCATTCCTGCCTAAGTGGGAAATCATGTGTATCAGACGTACACAAGTTGGTGGCTGGGATAAAACAGGATAAAACCACTCTTTAAACCTAGCACAGTCACGAGCACGGTGCACCCTGTCCCTTCCAGCAACGATCGACTGTCTCCTGTAGCCAGTATGGACGAGGTGGTGAGTAATAGACAGGCAGACACCTTGTCAACATTCCCATCTGGCATAGCCACACCGGGGAGCTCAGTTAGCATCTAACTCCTGAAATGCAAGAATACTCAACACGCTGGCAAACATGCACACATATATGTAAATATAAAGTTGGGCCGGTATAAGCGTTTGTAACTGTTTTACCAGTACAATTGAGGAACACTACAAGTTGGTTGTTTGTCTTTTGTATTTAGGTTTTGGAAGTATCCTCATTTTGCATGTCACAATGTGTTTAGTTCACTAGTTCTCAAACTTGTTGTGGTTGTTACCCACATAGTGGGTTCATCATAAATAAGTCCCCCCAAAAATTATAGTTGCAAAAGCTATGTAACCATTGCACTTTTGCTTGAAGTTACGGAACAGGAATAATAGCTTTAATTATATTTTATCACTCAGCTAAGGAAAACATCTATTTTTGAGCAGCCTTTCCTTAAATCATGATGTGATGTAACTTAGGGAGAAGGTTGATATCGCTTAGTTCCAATAATTGATGGTATATATAATGAAGTTTCCGTTCATGTACACCCATACGCTTTGCTGTAATTTCATTCGTTTCCTTGTTTCTTTGTGTTGTCCTTGGTCAAATTTGAGCAGGTGTTAGTGGCTTCCCATTTGTTTTAGAAGTACCTTCCCAGTCCGTCCTGAATGACAGGATTCCATCGCCACTTTGTGTCCATACATCCTGAACAATTATCACCTGTTTTGTCCCTTCTACATTGTACATATTCGCCCCCTAATTTATCTGGTCTGCTGGCTTTAGTTTTCACCCAAATATGTAATTCGACCGGGTGGATTACTGCTTGAATGAAAAGAACAACGATCGACGAGCGATCCGATAGAAGAGCCATCTAGCTGTGCTGCCTTGCACGCTTGCATGCGTAGAGTAGAAAAGAAATTTCATTGTTGCAACTTGTCTTATTCGCTGAACACTCATTAATGATTAGTCACTGACGGCTAATCAGTAGTGACTAGGTAGTTAGTTAAATATTTGCTCACAAAGGTCATTGTGAGTAATTTTGATGACGCAATCCCCGTATTTATACTTATCCCAGTAAAGTACCATTTCACCCTCGGGGGTAATTACCCACTGGTTGTGAACAACTGGTTTAGATGGTCATTAGGCTATACCCAAAACAACCTGAAGTTGGCGATGGCCCCGACCTCTACCGGAGTCAATTTTGAAAGATTGTTGCCTATGAGAGAAAGCAGCTTTGGTGTGCTTTGAGACAGGAACAGATATTTCCGTTGGCAATGTTCTGCCAAATACATATTGCAAACGATTTAATAGGAAGTTCTCCCAAAGAAGGCATATATTTTCATTTGCTGAAATAACCGTGTGGACAGGTAGCTAAACCGAACTGCGCTCTACTATTGCGGCATTCACTCTGCAGCCGACCAGATGAGATGAAACGGCTACCCAATCCGGTCTTGTCCAGTCAATGTTGTACTCCAAAACGCTATAATGTACGCCATTAAAGGCGTTTCACCTGAGTAAGGGATTTAGAAAATGCGTAACTGTAGGTTAAAATGGTTATTGTGTACTCGTGGGATTATAGAACACGTCCTAGCAATAAACACATGACTCATTTACTTGGGTAACTAAGCTCATAACTTGGAATGATTTGTAATTTCTTCATCACGAAGTGGAGGAAAATGAAACGAGTAATGCCACACTCGCCGAAGTAACACATTGTTCCCGATAAAAAGATTTGGGGGAATTTAGGAGCACGTTCGTTTAAAGAGAATTGGTACAAATATCAACATGCTTATTAACAACCAACAGAGTAATCGGAATCGAACACGCAAAAAGTGCACAATTACACATGATGGATGGTGCAATATGGGGGCGATTTTGTTGAAAGCGAGCGGTGAAAGAAGTTACCAAGGTAACTTCCCTCTATGCGACATCCCTAGGTTACTTCTGTTTTGCGGCAGAACCAGGGGTTATTCTACAAAGAGACCATTTTCCAAGCATACAGGCAACGGAACGTTTCAGTATTAGTAACAGTTTGAGGTCATTTTGAACGCTAGTGACTCGACCTTGTACCCAAACCTAAGAAGGTAAATAGCATCTAGTATCTGGGCTACCGGTTTGGAAACCAGAGTCGTTGTGCTGCCCCATTGCTCCTTTATATTACTATTCGTTACCAACGAAAATTGTTCGTTACTTGCCAATAAGTCTCCATCCTTCGCTAGCATGAGGAACAACGACTGTATCGGTTAAGACAAAACACGCTTAACCACTTAGCAACGGCCTCCTACCACATTCCTCGGTGGTAGAAACTAGATACCTTCATGTTTCTGAGCAACAAACTGATTTCTACTCCATCTGTGCAGTTGATCCGCACTAATTCTATACGATAAACGCCATGGAAGCAGCTGTTAATCAAAGCGGATTGAGTTGTACGGGACTTATGAACAACTCCCTCATTAAGAGAGTTACGCGACAAACTGCTACTTCTTTTATTACAACGCCTTGAATTGCCTATCCCAAGCCTGAGCGAATGAATTTTGTGTCCTAGAAGTTTTTAACGAATTCCAACAGTTCTCTATACTGAAATTTATACCTAGAAAAAAGAAACATTAGATTATACAGCTGGTAGATTCTATGCAACCTCGAAACAGTGCTGTGAAACACTAAACCCAAATTGTAACGCATATGTTGACCAATTGTGTAAACCCTAGACGTTTTTATCAGCTGAGCAATTTTTCATAGTTTATTAGCGTCAGGATAAAAATGCGGGCAATTACTGTGTTCACATTTAAAACTTTCGTGTATGCCAGCGTCATTGATCAAAATGAGCCGAGTCAGCTAGTTCCAACCCTGATAAGCATCAAATCACTCTTGAAGCTGAGAAAACAGTGGGGAATGCCCAGGACATAGCAATGAACACTTTTGTGCAAATTTAACAGTCCAAAAATATAAAACATTCATACCTAACGATGGCCTTGGAATTATCGTGAGACACTAAGCAGACTTCTGTATGCGTTTTTGTTTAATGGCGGCATATAGGAATGCAATGGGCGGTTTAGAGGTATTACATTAAAATAGCGTTTTTCGAATTTCGTATATGTAAACAAGTGACTTACAATACTCTGTGTGAAAGAAATTTGAATCGCACAGTATAGCCATATAATAACGTGCGGACATAGTCGCATTATGGTCTGGCTGATTTATCGCCTCCCCTTCCAACTCATCTATTCTTTTTATATTCTTTATAACGGCGGTGGAAGAGATGACTCTTGTGTTCTTCCTATGTATCCAGCCAATGATATTCGTAGAAATACAGCAACTGATTGATTGGACGCCTTAGAATGTACTTTTTCCTATGTGCAAGCCAGTGACGTGAGTCAGGTGCTCAGTGGAAGCTGAATGGAACAGTTGCTTGATAGAAATCCGGGTGAAACCAAAATCATACAGCGCTTTTAATTTAGGACTTGAATAAAACCCCCAGGGGTTACTTCCCATTCAGCACAAGGCAAACCCAGTGAAAGTAAACCAAAAGTGCATCCCCACAGAGGTGAGCACACAAGTGGATAAGCCTAATACGGTTGCTCGAAACACACTCAGGCTTAAGTTGTTCATTTGCTCAGCGAGATTAGCATTTCATTTGCTTAGGTTTTGCCACCATATAAGATAGCATCATCTGTGCGGCGATTTGTACCTGAATCACTAGTCGACGATTTAATCCGAATGACTGCACACTGCAAATAACTGCACTGACCATGCCACCTCATATGGTGGTGAAACGTATGCACCCACATTGACAAGGTCGGTGAACAAATGAACAACAAATCCTCCAATCGCGATACCAACATTCTGAAGCATTTCAAACACTCAAGCTTGCACATTGTTGCAATTTGGATTGCCTTTAGTGTGATGCTTGCGAAAAGCGATTGCAAATCAGCCCACGGCTTACTGTGAAGCAATTGTCAGTCATTTTTGTTAAAAGAACCGCGTCTACTTAGGGAAAACTGAAATCAAATGTCTTAACTCAGGCATCCAGGTATAAGTCAGAGGATTCCCGGTGAATTCCTAACCCCCATCATAGACGCATTCACTGTGATTGTCTGTACAAGTGGTGAGGAATTAAACCTGCAATTTTCAAGTAAGAAGTTCCAGACTAAGCTTGAATGTGGCTATATTTAGAGTCCGAAGGAGGAGAAAACTGCCTTTGTGATGAGATTTTGCGGATAGGAACTAGCCTTGTGTTGCTTGGAATGACAGCCCAACATATCCACTGGACTACCATATTCCGTACTCATGTTAAATTTTATTCTAGTGCAAAGGGTAATCGATTAGTTATACACTTTTACCAATAGGAAAAGGCACAGGTTGAATTCCTGTAAAGGAAAAGCTCATCGGGGCGACAAGAAGAATAAAGTACTTCTTTTATGGACAGATTTGAGTTGGACCGAACGTATATACTTCCTTTTGTTTTACTGTTTCCACTTTTCCTCACTGTGCGTTCGCAACCGTGTTAATAGTTGTCTTCTCGGCGAGTTACTAGGCTGACGCTGGATTTTTGCACTTCACCCGCTTGCGTCTCCATATAGCTCCGATAAAACGGTCCACTGTGTCTGACCTCCTACTGTCCCTGACGTTAGTATGTAACTATGTGCTTACATATGGAGTTGTATTTATTAGCTCTAAATTGTCTATCATCGCATACGATATAGATTTAGGATATACCTAAAGAAGTTTGGAGCGAGAAATGGTTAGGACTCAAAAGCTGAGGGCATAAAAGTCTCAACTGCTATTGCTATAGTGCACTAATGTTGTGGTTTTTCAGGCGGTAAAGATGAAGCAGATTTCCAACGTTGATCGCCGGCCGGTGACCAAGTGGTCTGCGCGCCTGGCTTGCAATCGCAAGGTCACCGGTTCGAATCCGCCTAGGAGTGGACGTCTTCGCGGTCTACGCAGCCCATGCACGATTGGTGGTGGTTGCGTGGCAGCGAAAGGCCGTTACGGTGTACAGCTGGTGGTTTATTCTATTTATTACTGTTGACCAGTAGGTACTATTTACAGCAATTGGTTACACTTATTAGTTAGGACAGTGCAGTCTAAAACGAAACCCGCTAAATGCGAAAAGTTCGTATTGTTCTCACAGTGCCACTAACAATAACCGATTTGTACTCTTGTAATTTGCGATAGCTTTGAGCGAACAAGTACGTGGTGTAAAATGAATGACGGAATCCTAATTGCTTTTGAAGACATGGTGCTGGCTTCATCAGGATTTCACTCAATTAGTTCCGTCCAGAATAGGGAAAGGCACGGAATAAATATTACTGGTAGGTGCACGCATTGGGTACCATAAATATAACCTATACGCCTAGATTTAGCTAACCTTGGGTGTGACCAGACATGCTTGAGGTGCACAGTAAGTGACGGAAGTTTCCACCTATATCCATGGCAGTCCCAAGATAACAAATAATTCAGAGGTAATTCATCACAGTCCACTTTCAGTCAGCAGGGTTTGCCACATCTGGAAAAGCACCAGACAGCGCTGTTTCGACATTCTGGGTCCCGCCAGTGGTCCGCCTTCCTCAGACCCCTGCCGAGTTCAAACCCCATGACATCTGGATGCCAGCAGCTTGTGCCACTAAGCCATGGGTGACTGCCGCGGACCTGCATGATTTGCAGTTGACTATGGGATAGATCGGTTCATCTTCTGCTACCATGGCAGCTATGAACTGTGCAGACCTATCGGTTATGCCTGCTTAACTAGCTCCGTACTCATGCACGAATTGTTGTACGTAGGATGGTTTGGACCCGATCGGCTTAGCTTCCGTCGTTGAGGACATCGGAATATTATGACTTCGGTTAATGACCAAAACGTGAACAACATTGTAACTTCGCCGTGCAGTTGAGATTAAAAACACTCCATGGTTTTCAGCATTATATAATCACCATTAAAAGGCAACTCGATGTACAACTTATATCATGGCTGCTGTGTGTATCAGTTCCTTCCAACCATGTCGTTGACTGTTCCATAACCATCCGCTATGTGTGCGTCTGTTCTTAACTCTAGCATGACTGGTTGACGTTTTAACAAGTATCTGCTTGTACTCCATCGATGTGAAGCTGGTGAAGTGCAAGTATTCACCAGACCATAGTGTCTACCTGTTAACAGATTTAATAAGTTATTCATTCCTATAGCCAGAGACCAGGAAGACGACAATATTGGTCATGTGCTAGGCATGAGGGTGTTAAAGAGCTGAGGCGGTGGGAATATTTGATACACACATCCCTGCATGCTGCTCTTAGTATTGTGTTTTATACTATCGGTATTTAGCAATGCATGCAACTGGGAAGATGTTTAAACAGAGGACTGACATGCCTTTCGAGTTGGCCGTTTTCACTCCCACCGTCACACGGGACTTGTCAAACACCTGCTATTTAACCCGTAGTAAATCACTGCTCATTGTTTACGCCTGGACGCTCGAACGTAGGGCATGACGGATGTCGGAAACAGAGGCACACACCGATCCCTCTGTGAATGGTGCCTGAAGTAAGAGAAACATTCTTGAAGAAAATATTCTTTCTACTTGGCAGCTCTCCAGGAACAAGGATGTTAGCTGATTGACAAGTGTTGTGCCACCGTACGTTGGCCGTTCTGTCGGGAGTTCACCTTAGCCAGCAGCATTAAAGCGCTTCAAGGGCCGGAGTATTTCGGTAACCGCAGCATTAGTGAAAATGGGTAAACGAGATGGGATATTATTAATGTATGTATGGCTTTAGTAGCTGAAATGTTAATAAATCATTTTAGCGCTTCCTAGTTTAAAATATGAGCTTCCTTTAAGTCATCAACATCAGAAGAATTAAATACCCAGCAGGAAAGACGGTGAAAACTAAGGACCTTTAAATAAAAGGAGACTATTTTGAAGGTAAATTTCCAGGTACGGCAACACGTTGAGTTGTGCGCTACAATTTGTATTGCCAATGGAATTGTCGTAGTCCGTTTAATAAGGTTGATAGTCTTTGCACTTCAACCTAATGTAGAGAAGAAAAATTGATGAATGCGAGTAAAAAGTTAAAACCGAATAGGTCACGTGGTCAGGGTGAACTTCGCAAAATACTGCTCACCAGCTCAACGTAACTTCACACCGGTAGACTCACTGATGTATACGAATTAAAAAGGGTAAATGTACTTTACATTCATAAAGATTGACTTTGAGTGGGGTATTTGTACAAGCCGCGTCAGATACTGTTGAGCACGTGTAGAAGGAGAAATATCTCGAGCTTCATCCGTGGTATGACGGTCAGTGAATTCTAGCATTCACTCATATTTGGCAATGGGCAATGAGTCAATTTGAGAAGGTGCGGAGTCATTAGAGCACGGTGACCTAAAGCTTTGAAAACTACCAGCAGAGGCTGGAAGCGTATTCCATGGTTGGCAGATACGTAGGAAAAAGAAATTCCGACGGTACTCCCAACGACTGTATTGCTCTGACGGTTTGAGACAATGGTCTCCCAGATTGCTATTTTGACTGAGCTATTGCTTACGGCGATACGTGTGGTTTATACCTTTTACAACCAGACAAGTCAAAATAAGACCCCCTAGTAATTACCGGCAATATCCACTGAAGAATCGGAACACTCAAAGCTTTTGTTCATACTGCAAACGATAAAATCCCTGGATATTTTTGGTTGCTCGGCGTCGGCGTACCTCCAAGGCGGTGCGATCTTTCTTAAGACATGGTTGCCAGTCCTTTATTGCGTTGTCCAGATGTGGACCTATCCAAAACCCTGGAAGGTGTTGCAAAATCAAAGGGTTAAATAGTCAGGATACACGCCGCAAGGAGTTCGCGTTTTAAATGTCAGTTTTTGGCGCCCTTTCATCTTGATCTGAATAGCCAAGTTCGTATCAATTGCTCATTTGTTCTCCCAGCTAGGCGGTTTCCTCGCAAACCTTTCACCACCGTGCGAGGTGGCATCCTCAGTGCAGTGATATATAGCGACAACGACAACGGAGAAACGGGTTGTTCTGCCTTATATGAAGAACATATCGGAAATGGCAGCTAGACTATTCAAACAGCATCATCTCATCGTAGCACACAAACCAACTGCCACGCTGAGAAAAACGCTTTCCAAACCAAAAGAAAAACTGCAGGCACATGAACAACGCAATGTGGTATACAAAATACCTTGCCGAGATTGTGAAAAGGATTATGTTGGCCAAACGGGAAGAAAATTGGTAACAAGGATA